TAGCTAGGCATCTGTTAGGGAGCTGGTAAAGTGTGTCCCCATTTCTCTTCTCTCAGACTCTTCTCATGGTGAAACTTCTCACCCTCCCACTCTATGTTGAGCTCATTGCTTGGCCCCACCAACCTGGTTTAGTGCCTGACACTATACCTTAAGAATTCCTGGGCTCATCTCGTTCACACTTCTTCCCCACTCACTCTAGCTTTATCTTTCCTGTGTCAAAATGCTACCATGTGACCGTAAAAGTTCATCCATTAGTCTAAAATGTTAAAGTGTGTAAAATAAGTGCAGTAGGTACATGGGTGTTCATTTTTCCCCTGTATGTTTGAAATATTTTAGAACTTTAAAATGTATTTCATGAAATATGAAAAACAGGAGAAAATGTAATCTATCTCTCATCCATTTTCAATTCTACACACACACACACAAACACAATCATAATAATCATTGTCCAACATTATCATAATTTAACATAGCTGGTGTCCACTGTACTCGTTTCCTAAGGATGCCAAAACAAAGTATCACAAAGTGGTTGGTTTATAAGAACAGAAATTTATTGTTTCATAGTTTTGGAGTCTAGAAGTCCAAAATCAAGTTGTTGGCAGTCTTGGTTCCTTCTGGAGACTCTGAGGCAGAATCTGTTCCTTGCCTCTCTCCTAGCTTCTGGTGGCTCCTGACAATCCTTGGTATTTCTTGGATTGTAGTTGCATCACTCCCAGTTCTGTCTCCGTCATCACATGGCTGTCTTCTCTGTCTCTTCTGCTCTTTTATAAGGATACCACTTAAGTTGGATTAAGACCCACCCTAATCAAGTATGATCTCATGTTACTTAATTGATTGCATCTTCAAAGCTGCTATTTCCAAACAAGGTTACATTCACAGGCACTGAGGGGTTAGGACTTCAACACATCTTTTTGAGGGACAAAATTCAATCCATAATATCCACTAATTGGCTGGATATTGGCCAAACATGAGTCAATTTGTTCATCAAAAGAATAATGAATTAAACACACTAAATACATAAATACTGTAGAAGTCTAAATATCTTGGTTGTGTCTAGCAGTTGCCAGGGCATCAAATAATTATTCTGCAATTTGATAAATAAAAGGATAAGAATTAAGCATTTGCACTGCCTTTCTTATACGGACTGTATTTCAGAGTAACCAACTAGTTAATAAGGAAAAGTTATATTTTACAAAAAACCAAACCCACTGTCATCGAGTCAGTTCCTACTCATAGCTATCCTACAGGACAGAGCAGAAGTTCCCAACAGGATTTCCAAGGAGCAACTGGTGGATTCAGACTGCTGACCTTCTGGTTAGCAGCCGAGTTCTTAACCACTATGCCACCAGAGCTCCAAAGCATAAGTTAATAAATGCATAAGGACAGAAGCTTAGGAGTCAACACCAAAACACTTTCATCTTCATCTCCCACATTTAGCCCATATCAGCTTCTCTTGAATTAATCACTTACATATCTCTGAAATCCACTCACTTCTATCCATCTCAGAGATCTTCTCTCTAGTCCAAGACACATCAGTTCTTGTTTGGATCACTCCCATCATCTCCTGCTATTTCTACATACACTCTTAATTTCATCTCTACACCATCCCATATCTGTTCTCATCACAACAGCCTGAATGAAATCATTTAAATGCACCTATGATCACAAAAACTGCCTTTAACACTTCAAAGACTACCATCCTGCCCATGTCTGCATTTGCATACTCATATCTCATTTCCATAGATGTTTGGGCTATAGCTCCTTAACTACTTACAATCCTTAAACATGCCACATTGCTTCCCACTTCAGAGTCATTGCTTATGCTATTCCTTCTACTAGGAAAGTTCTCACTCTCACTGTCCTCTCCCTCACCAGCCTTCTACAGATTTTTCTGATCTCACCTGAAATATCACTTCCCCCAGAAAACCTTCCTGATCATGCCCCACGAGACTAGATAGATCCCTCTGCCATCTTTCCTAATAGAGCTCTTTAATTTTCTTTATTATGGAAAAAAATTATTTAAATGATACATAGCTATAAATATTATAAAGAATAACTAAAATTAATGTATTATTTAATAGATTCTCTTTCATCAAGGTAGAAGTCTCTCTGTTGTGCTTACTATAGCATCCCCACTTCTGAGTATATGCCTTGATAGTTTATGTGCAATAAATACTTACAGAGTATTTACTGAGCCCTTAATTCTACTTAATAGAGTATTGCTTTAGCTCAGGTGTTAAGTCAGAAAAAAATCTCCCAGGACAGGATAAGACACTTTCAAATCATATAACCTACAGACAACTAGAGAAAGTAAATCTGGAGTTCAGGCAAGAACCAGCCTAAACAGAGTTTGATATTTAGGGGGCACATACTGGCCTAAGACTATTATACACATGGGCCAGAAGAGATAATGGCCTATTTTGGGGAGGAATAAAAAAGTCTGTCAATTTAAGGAAATCAATTTTGGTATGGAAAATAAGAGGAAAAAGTCCATTTTAACCATTCTTATATGCAGGCTCTGAGGATTATGAAAAACAGACTTGTAAGAGCAGAAGCAGCAAGCCCAGTGGTATGATGAAGGCTTTCTTTGTTATTTCACCAGGAAGCCTGATGGGGAAGGTGGGGGCCAAGTCTAAAACAAAATTCTTAATTAAACTGGATGTGAGAAGTTTGAGTTCTGCCTGCAAGTAGATGAACAGAATTACAAAAGGTCTCATGTGGGTGTAAGTAATACAGAAGCAAGACTCCCCAGAGACAAGAAGCCCTGTGTTAATCTCTTGTGGTTCTGAAAGCAAGGAGGAAGAAAAAAGATTAAGCCTCCTTATGGAGATCATGTGATAACTTCCTGATCTCAGCCACACACTGCTCCTTCCACCTGAAAAGGCTGCTTTGAGTCTCAAGAAAGTTGTATGGAGACAGTTGTATAACAAGACGAACTGTAGCAGAAAGGACAGGGAGCAGAGCAGGCTGACAATCCAGAATCACTGGGATAAGGATGCCTTTCCTATAAATCATGCTCCTGAGGGTCCACACTGAGGCTTACTTCAGGACTTTCACTTTCTTTCATCAGGAAACCAGCCAGTTTTAAGTATGGAGCAAGATAAGGAAGGGAGTCTTAGGGGAGACAACTTTGATTTTACTACTCTCAACCATCTGATCACTCTTCAGCCCAAAAAGAGATCACCTTA